ATGAAAACTGTTCTAGAGATTGAAAGCCCGAATGTCTCATTTCCTCCTGCGAGAGACACAGTTCTAAATATTAAAGCAAGGTTTACTTGAATGGCAAGGTAGAGTCAATAGGAGCGAAAGTATCATTAGCGGGCAATCCAATAGTCAAAATCAATTATCCCTTTCATATTCATCTGGAATCGCGTTAATAACAGGCACTACCCGAGGGATATTTTTCTCCATACGTTTGTATAGCCTCAAAATGATAATGGTCACTTTGAGGCAATACAAAGGAAGCTTTCAAGACATAAACCCTTCTTTCCCATCTTCCTTCTCTACTCTCTCTGGATACGTATTCCTGGAATCGTATTGTGCACGAAAAATTATCTTGGAGACAGACTTGATTTCGATTTACTGTCCGTTGCTTTAGTTATAACTTGTGTCGGCAGCAGATCTTTCGATTAGTAATTTCCATGCATTTTGATATCCGGACTCCATTTACCCCTATCACTAATCCGTATTTCTGGTAATCGCTATTGTCTGCCTGAAAAATATGCCATGACGATACTGGGAACAGAGTACTGGGAAGCACGGAACCCCTCGTGTTTTATCGATGATTTGCGACGAGACAGCCAGAACCATATCCCTCTTATTGAGAAAATTAGACGCACTGGTGCCCTTATGTGAGTACACCTGAAGACTTCATGCAGGCGACGAAGCGAAGGAGGCCGAATGGCGTTGCACCAACCTGCATGGGAATGGTGTAATCCGTGCGTGAAAGACTACTACATTGGCTAAGAATGACATGTTCATTTTCTTTGTTGCCCTCAAGACAAATTGCCAAGCATTATACTTATAAAACATGTACTTAATCTACTGCATAAAACATCACTTCCACTTCAGTTCTCTCTCATAATCCAAGACCACGTTCATTAAAGCTTCCTTGAAAACTGTTACGATCCCAGCCAGTAACACCTCCCTTTTCTTTTATTTATTTGCAGGGAATTCAAGATATACAATAATACGAGAGATTTGAAGCTCTCTGCAGGAATTCTAGGGAAACTAACCCTGCAGTCCTTATGGATTGGCGACACTAATGTTACAAGTATTCAACCGTCGTTCATCCTCCCTTCCAAGGATCGTCTGAAGGATTTCACTTTGCAGAACAGTCACCTGGAAGAGTTCCCTTTCCATATCATCCCAAGATTACGAAGTCTCAAGAAACTATGGCTCCGGAACAATTCCTTGACCTCAGTTCCTAGTCTCCAAAGCCTCAGCCTAGAGAGATTGGACTTCAATTACAATAAGATTAATACAATTGATGTAGACGGTTGGATGACTCCGAACTTGCGGGAATTTGACATCGGTAAGCATGCAGCATCTGCTGCAATGCCATGAATCCAGATTAAATGCCTTCTTTGGAATCCTCCACCTTTCTTCTGATGTGGCTAGGACTGAAGGTGTATTAAGCTATTGACGTTTTTTTAATATACGATAAACAGGTCTGTACGCTGCCAATAACTGCTTGTAACAAAGGATAACGCTTGATTAAAAAATGAGGAGGGATATAATCTTACATCTTTTTCTCATCTAATACAGGTCACAATCCGCTATCGAGTTTCCCGTCGGCTGTGGTGAAGGGTCTGGAAAAACTAGAGGAATTCTATTGTTCCGGTTGCAATCTGGGACCCACCCTTTTAAGGGGGCAGTTGGAATTCCGCAGCAAGACCCTGAAGAAGATGTCACTCTTGGACAACAACATCTCACGACTTGAGCCGGAAGCCATTGCAGGTATATTTACTAGTCAATTTTCATAAACAAGATGATGATTGGAGTGTTTGCAAAACCTGAATGCTGCGCAGCGGTTGTCCTAATAGTTGCATATGTCGCATGCAAGTTGACCCTGCCGTGCAGGTTGAACTTGTATGGCCAAACCCTTGTTCACGTTAACCTGGATTGCACTGTTTCGTGCAAGCACAGTGAAACACATCACTTGGCCATAATCATATTCGCATGCCCTCGGCTACCACCAGTTGTTTTATTTTTGCACCAGCATGGCAAAAACCATGAAATGATCACACTAAGGAATAAAATGCAGAAACTGCTTCATGATGCCATGACAAAAAAATATGCAAGAAGTTATTCAATGCCTGCATTCAAGCCTTCTGTTAAGCACACCTTTTTTATTTCCATGCATTTCTTGGAATACGTCTATGATTTGTGGCATCGAGAACTGGGTAATATTGGCTATGCCCTTGCCCGTTTTTGTTGTTTTTTTTTAGATGCATCGTTTGCAGTTGCGCATTTTATGGGGCAGGGGGGGGGCAGCTGCCGATCGATGAGAAGAAAGCTGGGCGTCTCAATGATCTTTTGCAGCCTTAACCTCTGCGATAAGCCTCGCGTACCTACTTATCGGGGAACACTGGGTTGTTGGGAGACTTGGTGCACTCGTAGAGCTTCAACACAAAATTATTGAATTGAGCTTTCATGCTGCCCATTATCATGGATTTGCAGGCAGATTAATTAGACGAAACCACTAGAATGAGGGGGGTTCGTTCACTCTCACTTAGATCGTACTGACGAAGGTGAGAGAATGTCTGTAAGTGAAAGCGAAAGGATGAAGGCACCACCTTCTCGTTTTCCCAAGGTCAGGACCTTTAGCTGCATTCTTGATCAAAATCGTCTAAATGTATATCATTAGGGAGTGGATATTCAATCATCCAAATATCCATCCCTAGATATCAATATCCATAGATATACATAGCTAGGTATCCATATCAGGCCAACGCCTGAACTTGCACAAAAATCCATCGTGTAAGTTAACTTGCATGTATGCAAGTTATCATGCATAGGGGGAATCAGATGGGTTCAAGTTGCACAGTATATTGTACTAGCGAGTTCGGGCAAACAAACTCGCTAGTACAATATATTGATACTTATCATCTTTCCACTCCGCTTAATACGCCAGGACCAAAAAAATTCTTGAAAACGTCGGCTCATAAAAATATGCCCCCAGGGCATGAATCTAAAATTTTTCATTTTTACTGAACTCATCGTTTTGATAGGCACGTCCATGCCAAGTTTCAGCTTTCCATGACTCTCCGTTTCACTTAAGCAAAAATAAACTTATTTTGGGGAAATGAGTGACGGGACATGGAAGGCCAAAGTAAAGCCATAGAAAGTGCAAGAATTGAACCCGGAACTTTTGATTGCCAGTCAGAGATGCTACTGCTACACCACCGATCCCAGCACTTCCAGTTGACGCTTTGAATGCCATCCTCATCTGTCACAATATATATTGAAGAAAAACGTTTCACCCCAAATTGTGTACCCCAAGGGCATGCACCTCCCAAGTGGGATTTTTTCTGAACTCTGCATCCCAAAAGGTACATGTGTACCATGTTTCAGATTTCTAACCCTTCTGGAACATGGTTAGAATTAGCGTCTGTCAGTCACGATCGTCTATATATATTAGAAGATTCAAGTTCAACCTGCACAGAAAGGTCAACTAGCATACGACATATGCATTCCAGGTGTTAATTCTGATACGACTGTTCACCTTACCCGGAACAACATCACTATATTGGAGGAGAATGCCTTCCGACCCATCCTGGAGATCATGTCCCTGGGAGATGGATTGCTCTATTTATATGGTGAGTTTCATCACTTCTCAAAACCCTGTGCGACTTCCTGATCCATCACATTTCAAAATATCATTGCCCATATGGGCTCTTATTTTCTCCAGACAATCCCATCCACTGTGATTGTACTTTGGATTGGCTGACACTCACTCCTGCATTGATGAAAAAATTGGAGGGCACATGTGCCAATGGGACTGCTTTGAGACAGTTGCATCTGGCAGAATTGCGGAGAACATGTTGCCGATATCCCAACACGTGTGTCAACGACAAATTAGTGTCTCTCTGTATGCCAAAGACAGAAAATCTCTCAATGTACTCGTTGACGGCGTTCCTGCTCAACACGACACTCAAATTTTCGGGTTGTTGTTTTAGCTTACATAAACGTCGTTTTTAATTAGTAAGCACAGGACTGTCCAAAGTGACTTAACTCAATTTTACTATAGGAGTGTGGTATCCACATACAAACTTACTTTTATATATAGAGAAGTTGTCCATACTAGATTCATACAATTTTAATATTTAATAAATCATGAACAAATGAACGCACGTATGTGTGATTTGCAGCAAGAGAAAGCTTGATATTTCAAGTTGTATTTCAAATTTTTAAATACCTTTTGGCAACTTCACAAGAGAAGGCAAATGCTCGTTGTGGTTTGTTAAGTTGAAGTCAGTCACACAGATGTAGCGCAACTTCAAAACTGTTTACAGTGAGGATCCTCTTGTCTGTGTTTCAACATACCGATAGATGAAGCATTTAAGGACACAGGAAGTTAGCAGAAAGAGAAGAATTAGGGAGGCATCTGCTATTCTCTACTGGTACGGGGCACCGATAATCTTGGGCTGTGCTCGAAGACTTTCTTTACACGTTCAACATCGCCATTTGATGTTGAACTTGTCCGGGAACGGGAAAGTGTCGGGTCTACAATAGGTTTTTTCTATCGAACGGATTCTTGTTGTAAATTGTTCCGAATTTGTTGCGCTGCGTGACGGACTTCAACTCCACAAACCAGATCACAAACTCGCCCTCTTCTGCGGAGTCGCCGTTTCTCTTCCAGGGAGCCGAAAAAAAGTTTTGACAATGTATTTATAAAATGAAAATGCATTTCATACAACTTGAAATATCAAGGTTTAGTTTGCTGCAAACCATATATATGTACGTTTATTTGTTCATAATTTATTAAACATTAATTTCATTCACATTTTACGAACATCCTGATCAATGTTAGCTATCCCAACTTTTGAAGAACGTTGAAGTGGTTGAAGAAGTGGCAAGAACTATATGCCGATGTTCTTCACCCAATGGACAGGGTTTACAACAACCCACTGACTTTACAATTACAATTACTTGTCCACAATTACAATTCACAATTACAGTTGCATATCCATCGCCGGGAATAAATTATTTAAAAAATTGGAAGGGGGAAAATTCTTTGGGGATAATTCCACTTTCATAATTTCGCTTCCATTCAAAGGAGTAATGTATACTCAGCCAAAAAAAGCTCAAGCAAGACGTTCTGCGATCTCATGATATTTGGTACACAAGTTGAATTAGAGTACCGTGAAATCCATTAGATCTTCACTTGAATGGAATAAATTTTCGTTGAGAAAAATTGTCAAACACTTCAATATTAGTATCAGTTATGATGTCATACATTTTTGCCCAAATCGGTCAACTACAAGGATTTAATTTATCACTCAACCTCCAGAAGTTCAGAAACATTGAGCAAGGCCCTAAGGTCACGGGATGAGGCAATGTAGAGAAATCTTAACAAATGCATGAGAAATGGGGGAGGAGGAAACGCCCATGAATGAACCAGGTTCCTTTTCTCTTCCCCTGCAGCTGCCTCATTATTGAACGGTAGTCAAGTTGACTGTGAAGCAGTGCCAAGATGGAATATCTGAAAGATTTTCCAATAGTTTGTTAGCGTTGGAGTGTTTGATAGGTGTTGGCACGCATGCATAAGCCTAATGCATCAGGTAGATGGATTGATCAAGTTGATGCATGGTACGTGATGAAGCATTTGTGCCCGTCATGATCATGAACCTTTCCTGGCTTAATATCATAGCAATGTGCTATGAAAAAAAGTGAAAAGCATTTTTGAAAGGTTTTCTCTTTTCAACCTCAACCTAAATCTCAACACTTCCCCCACGTTCTTTACGGAACTCACAAACGTTACGCCTTAGCCTACCCTACAGACTGTCCTCGAGTCAGGCTTTTTCTCTTTTAATGGAACTTAATCCTCGACTTACGTGAACAATTAGGCCTTTGCAGATCCATTCATGGTCTTCGCGACATCTCGTTGAGGACTTGCTACTAGGCTTATCGCATGCCCGTTTCAAATTTCATGAACAATTTCAGTGAGGACGTGGAACGTTAGGCCTCTCTAGTGTTCCTCAAACATCTCAACTAGGCCTAAGAAGAGAATTACTCAGGGAAAGATGAAATGCATAATGAAATAGGCGCTACCTCGCCTATTGTTGCACCGTTTAATTCTCGGATCATCTCATGAACCCAGTGCAACAATGCCCCATACATTTGGAAACAGCAGATCCAGACACCAATACGAAGGTCGAAGCAGTCTTGAATGTGGCATAACACCGGCACGATATTCGGCAACACTGTTGGAAGGGAACAGAGCCATCACTAAGCATGAATGAACGACAGTTAATTTCATTTTTTTAATGCGAAATGGCGCATCAGAAACTACAAAAAGCCACTTTCCGTCATTCACAAGTCAAAATATTCTCATGGCTGGTCTCTTTCTTCCGAAAACCCCCCACGAGTTGGGGTTTTCGGGGAGGAGGGGGATGAAAGAAAAGGAACGAAATTTTCGGGGTGTTCCACACATCTCGGGAAGACGGTGCTTCAAATTGGCTGGAGCATTTCTGTGTTGAGAGAGGAAGAAACATGCCTAATTTCGTTAATATTGATGCTCTCAGAGAGGAATACGAAGAGGTTGAATTCTGCTACGTGAAGGGATTGAAGAAAGGTAATAGGCGCTACCCAAACCGATTGATCTTTTCTAGCTGGCTTTGTCTTCACCGCTTCATGCTTATGAATAGTTATTCTTTTAATTCCACTTCGGTTAAATCATGTCTCTTCCTATAGTTTCACTCCATCGAAATTTCAGATATTTTTACTACAGTTGAGAATGACCTCTCCAAAGTAGCACTGGAACGCTTAATGAAAGTTCAATTACCGTTTCATTTCAAGTGATGCAAAGGTTAATGAACGTCTTCGGGAAGGTTACTTGACTGTTCAAATGTACGGAATTTAGAGCGATCAAAAACAGTTCGAATTATGTGTTTCTTGACCATCACTCAGGACGTAAATTGTACATTCACAAACAGCACTAAAGAGTTGCTTTCATCATAAGTAAACTCTGCTCCTACGACCGGGGTAACAGGCAACCACGTGACTAATTATTGTCATTGGGCGTACTGCCGTCCCTCACTTGGGTATAATATCATCCCATCTTAAACTGCGAATGACAATCTTTTCTCGCAGCTCAGATCTCACTCCAGTAAATGCATCAAATGGGCAATTCCTCTGAATCGATTATGCATGTGACGTAAGAGCTAGAACAGGGAAAATCCCTATATTCACATCAGAAATTAGGCACTCCCGGCAGGAATACTCTTTTTTTGATGGGGATGATACAGAGTGATCCAGGGATCCAGGGATGATACAGGGATGATACACTTTACACTTGGCATAAAGTCAACGTAGAAATTGAACCATCTTCCCTCCATCCTCCGGGCCAGAGTTTTCTCTGGATTCTTTGGACAGGGGTACCTCGTAAGACCAATTTGTGGATGAATTCAAATGTCTTCCTCTGGGATGTCTGTGTGGGGAAAACATCGTGCACCTGAAGCCTTGAATTAGTCTCCAATAATTAATATTGGAGACTAATTCAAGGTGGTTGAGGTGTGACTAGCTGTAGCTGGTACTTTAGCGTCATCTATTGTCCATTGAGTGAACCTTTGTGTGTTTCTAGCCAATATCAGATGGATAGCTGTCTTACCCACGAAAAGCGCCTCTTTAACGTTCAACGAACGTTCTTCGAACATCATTTATTGGTGATCAAACGGCACTTTAATTGAGCGTCCAAAAGTTACTCATCCCTGATCCTTGGATGTCATGAACCTCTTCAAGCTGGTGTAGGACGTGAAACTTACTACCTCTGTAGAAAGCATTATTGTAGTGAAAGTTGCGTACGCTGAAACCACTTCCATATTAAATATGGCGTACGCCGTTTCACATCCATAGTAAAACCCGCGTACGCAGGACCCACCATTGTCTCGTAATAATTACTACTGTGACCCGAGACTGTGTGCAATGGGCTATAGGTTCGTAACAGTATCTTTCCAGTCATGCCACCAGGGTCAGAGTGGGAGATTACCACTTCCTTAAAACCTTGACTTGATCTGTCCGATACTTATCGGTACAGTAATCAAAGCACAAAAGAAAGGGCATAAATAGCATAGTCACACCTATTCATTGATTCTCTTGTGTGAATAAATCTCATCTGTTGAGAGATGGCTGACGATAGCTACGAGTCGATCGCGACGTACCTCCGTCATGGGGAGTACCCCCAGTCCATGAAGAACATTACTTAGTGAAGCCCGCGGCAGCAACTTGGAGTAATGGCCTGAAATGTGTAGAGAAGATAAGCAAGCGAGGATATTGGAGGATGAAGAGTAAGGTGTCACCATTGACAGATAAGGAGGCCCGAATGCTGACTCATGCGATTCGACCCTCCGCATAGATTGTGGGAGGAAACAAAATATCGAAATCAGTCTCCAAAGTGATAGCAATTAGAAGACTGGAACAACCTCGTTGAATTCACGTAAATGAAACACCCTGTATGTAAAAACGTAATTAATCATGAGGAGTCATTTTGGGATGGACGTAGTAACATTTTCGTACGCTGATTCAACTTCCATAGTAGAATGGGCGTATGCAAAAAGCACTATGGTAGTAAAGTCAGCTTAACAAAATTGATTACGGTAGTCATGATTGCGTACGCGAGAACCACGACAGTAGTCGGCTTTGACAGGAGTCAGAATCGTGTTAAGCGTCCTCCTTGTGCCTGTTCCATGGAATGTACAAGCTCTACATGTTACAAGCACTAGCAAAGGTCTTGTCCCCTCGTTTAACTCCTCCCGCTGGTCCCGCTGGCCCGTCGTACAACTATGGCATGACCCTTGTAATAACTGAAATTTGTAAATAATAGAACTCATAAATCCCATGATACCCTTGAACGTTCTTATGTTACTTGGGCTATTCCGTTGCCAGGTCGCTCCAGCACCGCTCCTAGTTTAAGTTTTTCTGCACGTATTTCTTGTTGCACTGTGTTTACTGTTATTTGTCATGCATGAGGGAAGGTCATTTTCACTCACTTTATTTTGGCAGGTGAAGTAGGTCGGCCAGATTCAAGCTTCGCCAAAGCAGTCATCATCGCATCGATTTCCCTTATAGTTATTCTAATCGTGATTATCACCATTGTCTCGATTTCCTACTACCAATTACGGAAAGAGCAAGTGAGGCATCTTAATTAGGTGGAATTCCATTACCATGTAATTTGCGGTAACATGTGCTCATAAACCTTGCAGGTTCACAGAATTGCATTTCCAAACAAAGAGACAGAGAGATTTCGAAGAGGAAACCTGATGAACATCAATCCCACATTGCGCCTCGGTGAACAAGCAGATCTTCTGCCATATGACGACCACTGGGAATTCCCAGCAGAAAGGCTACGACTAGGTATGACCCCATTCTCGAATAGAATCCTCTTGACATGTAACCATTTCAAATGCTGTTAAAATCNGATTCATCACGTAAATGGCACACATTAAATTGAATTAGACCATATTTAAATAACATTAAAATGACATTTTATTTCAGGAAGAGCACATGGACAAGGATTGGAAACAAAAAAAATGAAAAAAGGGGTGACCTCAAAAGGGATTATTCTCCCTGTGTCCTTCACTCGGGGCGATCTGGTATCCTGGGCCTACCAGATATCTTACGGCATGGAGTACTTGAGTTCAAGGAAGGTGTGGTATTTCTAAAGCCTTGATTCTTCAAGACCTTGATTCTTGATCCTTGATTATTCAAGACATTTCTGCACTGGAGAAAATGGCTGAACCAATACCACTAATCGGATCACAGAATATTACGTAGGCTTTCCAACTAAAGTAAAAGCGGAAATACTGAACAATACACTTTTTCCCATCAAACCTAATTCCCTCTTGACCCTATCTCCAGCATTATTGCAAGCGAAGCCTTTCCGGAAAATAAAATTACCAAAATATTTTTTTTATTGTTCTCGAACGGGAGTGCTATTGTATCATGGCCTCGTGCTCACAATCACCAAGCTTCGCTGCAAACTATGAATAAATCCTGAAGCTCAGAATGGAAAACAACAAAAGACAACACAAAACAACAAAAGACGCACTTGTAAAAGAGACCTTGAAATAGAAATTAGATGAAAGGTAAGAAATATGTCATGACATTGTAGATCGTCCATCGAAATTTGGCGGCCAGAAACATTCTCCTGGCAGAAGAGAACGTCGTGAAGATTTCAGACTTTGGCTTTGCCAGGGATATCCATGTAAACAATCAGTATGTCAAGAAAGGAGATGTGAGTTCCTCACATGGACATTTCCTCGTTACATCATTTGATAAAATATTAACATTGTCCCTGTACCTGATTCTTCTAGGGTCCAGTACCTTACAAATGGATGGCGTTGGAATCACTCATCCATGAGAAGGTTTATACTAGCAAATCAGACGTTTGGGCATACGGAATTACGCTCTGGGAGATTTTCAGTCTTGGAAAGACTCCATATCAAGGCATGACGTTTGGAGAACTCATCCAGCGTCTGCAAGCCGGCTATCGCATGGAGGCTCCTGATTACGCCAGTGAACCGATGTGAGACCACTAATATCCTAACTCGCAAAACAAAGGAAATATGAGCTTCTTTTTAATGACCACTTCATGCGTGCTTCCTTTACAGCTATCAAATCATGAGGAAGTGCTGGTATGCCGATCCAAATGATCGGCCTACATTTTCTGTGCTGAGTGCATGGCTTGCTACTAAGATGCCAGAATCTGAACATCAAGTAAATATTGATTCCATGCTCGTACCAATCGCGTGCGAGTATTCAGATCAAAATGTCAGGTTTTGTTTCCCTTTTTTTTCTGCAGCGTATTTTGGAGCTGAACAAGCCATAC